CCTACCGGGCCGGGACCGGGGACGGAGGGCAGGGCTCAAGTCTGGGGGAGGCGAGGGCCAGAGACCTGGGGGCTGAAGGAGGGCAGAGACCGAGGGAAAAGCAGAAACAGGGGTGGGGGAGGGAAACCAGAGAGAGGGGTTGGAGACCCAGAGGAAAAGGGACAAGAAGGGCTCTAGCCGGTTGGCTCAGTGGACAGAGCGAGGCCGTGGGCTGAAGGGTCCCGGGTTCGATTTTGGTCAAGGGCACATGCCTGGGTCGCAGGCTTGATCCCCAGTAGGGGGTGTGCAGGAGGCAGCCAAACAATGATTCCCTCTCATCATTGATGTTTCTCCCGCTCCCTCTCCCTTCCTCTCTCAAATCAATAAGAATATAATAAAGAAAAATCAATGGAAAAATATCCTCAGGTGAGGATTAATAAAAAATAAAAAATAACTAAAATAAAAGGGACATGGAAGCAGAGGCGAGGACAAGGGACTCAAAGACAAGAAACGTGGGACAGACAGTTGTAGAGGGGGACAAAGACGCCGACAGTCAGGGGCACAGAGGCTCTGACACAAACGGAGTCAGACAGACAGACAGATGGACCGACCATCCGGGAACCCAGGAGGAGCCTGGGGTTTGTTCTCAGTGCTAGGAAACCCAGGCTGGACAGCACCAGTCACCTTTCACAAGGACTCCTTGGCCACTGAGTGGGGCGGGGCTGGCGGAGGGACCATGATGGAGAAGGGGAGGCTGTTTCAGATAAGATGACAGCCCATGTGAGGGAGGGAGCAGTGGGGTGACAGAGGTGACAGCTGTCAGGAGCCTGGCATATAACAAAGGCCGTGGAGCGTGTGCGTTCATTCTAAATGCTCATGGTGAGCAGGACGGCGCAGAAAGAAAGTAATCGGTTCCAGGGGCTGGGGCTGGAGGAGGTTTGGGGGATGATGGCTGAAGGGCAGTGTTTCTCTCTTTTTTCTTTTAAATATATTTTTAGTGATTTCAGAGAGGAAGGGAGAGGGAGAGACAGAAACATCAATCGAACCTGGGACCCTTCAGTCCACAGGCTGATGCTCTATCCATTGAGCCAGACCGGCTAGGGCTGCAGTGTTTCTTTGTGGGGTGATGAAACTGTTCTACTACTATGGGCAGGGACAGTTGCACAACTCCGTGAACACACTGAAAAACAGTGAACTGGCCATGGCGATGGTGGGAAAAGGTGTCAATTATAGCTCAACACAGTTGTCATTCCCAAAAGGCTACACAGAACCACAGGCCGAGAACCGTCCGAGTCTCCCCTGGAGGAGCCCTGGGTCCAGTGGGAGGGTCTGACGCAGAAGCTCACTGTGGGAGCAGTGGATGCTGGATGGGGAGAGGGGGCAGGGGAGGCGAGAGGCGGGCCGGGGAGCAGGCACTCACCGGTCAGGATTCCCACGTAGCAGTAGCTGTAGCTGAGTGTCTCCATCAGAGAGGGGATGTAGGGCAGCAGCCCCAGGCTGGGCCCCTGGCTGAAGCCCGCAGCCATTTCCTTCCTCTGGGCCAGGTGCAGGTCCTGTACCTCACTGGCCAGACTCACCAGCTGGGAGGAAGGGGTGCGGGTGGGGAACAAGTCAGACTCGGTTCCGCCTCACACCGTCTCCCCTAAGCTACCCCTTCTCGGCAGCCAAGGATGCTGGGTGTAGCTGGGAGCTGAGTTCTAGTCCCCGGGGAGCATCTGGCATCTTAGAGTCTCTATCGATGGCAGGTGCTCACCAGGGCTCACTTCTGGGCCCACCTGTCTTCTTTTTTTGTCGTTCTATTTTGTTAATCCTTCATTCTTTGCCGACTCCGTCCACACCTTTGAGAACCCCTGGACCTGCTGGGGGGTACCCCAACAACACTCTACTCCTGGCTGGGATCTCTCTCCCCAAACCTATTTATCAAGTTGCCTCTGACCAATATTCAGATGTCGACTGGGCACATGCACAGTGGAACCCGATATTACCCACTCTCCAAACCAGATCCGCTTCGAGACTCTCCCCTCAGGCAATGGCACCGCCATCCCATTAATGGTTCAGGCCCCAGATCTATTCCCTCAGGGCTCTGGAGCCTAAGCCCTGGTCCTTTAGTTTTGTCTCCACCTCTACCGTGGGGCAGAGTCTGCCCAGCCACGGAGGAAGGCACGACCGGGGCCTGGGGTTTCGTTCCACTCTGGGCTGGTGTGACCCCAGGGACACCTCCGGGGGAGCGCCTCTCTGCAGCCTCCTCCTTCCCGGCTCCTCTGCCTGCCCCTCCTCTCGTCCCCTCAGGCTCCTCCCCAGGGCTGGGCCAGGGTTCCTCCTGAGCTGTCCCTTCAGCTCCTGTACGTGCTCATCCTAAATTGGGCGTTTCCTGTTGGGAGTCGGACTGACCGAGCTGCCCACAGCCTGACTGAGCCGCCAGCTGGACCGCATCCCATCTCGCCCTTGCTGCTGCAATCGCCTAGAAGCACCCAGAGCGAGATTTCTAAACACGCAAACCTGCCCTGGCCAGTGGTTAGAGCATCGTCCCCTACGCCAAGGTTGCGGTTTGACCTCTGGCCAGGGCACAGACAAGGATCAACCAACGAATGCACAGATAAGTGGAACGACAAGTCGATGTTTCTCTCTCTCCCTTCTTCTCTCCCTTAAATCAATAAATACATTTAAAAACAAATCAACCAAGGAATGCATAAGTGGAACAAGTCAATGTTTCTCTCCCCTTTCCTCTCTAAAAATCAATAAAATTTGAAAAAAAATGCAAATTTGGTCACATTACCTCTCCGGACAACAAACCAAAACCTCTTCCGGGGAATCTGGGCCCCACAGGGAGAAGTCCAAACGCCTCGCATCGGCCAGCAAGGCCCTGTGAGTGGTGTGGTCCCTGCAGCTCCTCCTTCCTTCTGGGACCTGTCCATGTGGCCGCACTCAGCTGGCCAGCAGCTGCTCCCTCCACTGGAGCTGTCCTTGCACGTAGAAGGCCACGCCTCCACCTCTTCTCCCTAAGCATCGCCTGCTGTCCCCAACTCCCTCCTGAAGGGACCTGGTCTGCTAGCCCGGGTGCCTGCTCCGATCTCTGATTCGCTCACTGATTGGTGGCCAGAGCCCTGCGCCCCGTGGGAACTCAGGCTTTTTGACCTGGGATGGGGTCTGGGAAGCTGTTTTCTTTTTTTTAATTTCTTTATTGATTTCATAGAGGAAAGGAGAATGAGAGAGAGATCGAAACATCAATGATGAGAGAGAATCACTGATTGGCTGCCTTCTGCACACCCCCCACTGGGGATCGAGCCCGCAACCCAGGCATGTGCCCTTGG